CGCCATGAGCCTCGCCCAGCGGCAAGTCCGCGCCTTCGGGCCGCTCAAACTGCATGTCCTCCTTGGCCAGCCTGTGGGACGGACAGGGGGTCAGCCCTGCTACCTCGCCCCTCTCCTTGGTTGACAGGTGGGACCGAGGCCCACTGCTTTTCCTGGCTGCACTCACCCATGTGTCTCGCTCATCCCAAAAGATTGTGGCGGCTCATCCAAGAGCCAGGCCTTGTCCTCTGGCTCTGCTCAAACTTAGGCCTCAAAGCCTTAGTGGTGGCATTGTATCGCCTATGACCACCCACCCAGCCCTCACACACCTTAGCCCTTAGCTCTGACCCCAGTTAGTGGCCTGATCCCAGACCTTGACCGCAATCACTCTCCTCATAGACTTTAGCTCTTAGCCCCAAAGTTCCAGTTTAGCCGTTAGCTCTGTTGTGGGGTCCCAGAGACCCCCCTCAGTTAGTCCCCACAGTGCCATAAGCCTAGCATCCAGCAGGCCCCGCCCCACCCCCCGCTGGCTCACGTGATGTCGAAGGTGGAGCCCTGGAAGGAGGGCTGCAGCCTCAGGAAGGCGGTGGCCGTGGTGTAGGGGGCCCGGGCCTCCGCTGTGTCCCAGTACAGGTCCTTCTCCAGCATGGCCAGGTCATCGTACATCTCATCCACGGCCAGCATTGACACCTGCAGCCGTGGACACGTGCCAGGCAGGGTAGCAGAGCACGGGCACGAGGCCTGGGCCCTCAGGAGTGGGATGCCAAGGAGAGAAGGATGGTGCCGAGGCGAGGCCTGGGCAAGTGGTGCCAGGGGTGAGCAAGGCCAGGGCCACCTGGGGAGCCTGGGCCGGGGCTCAAGGGAGTCTCACCTGGAAGTTGCGGTCGATCAGAAAGTTGGTCTCAAAATCGTCGTCGTCCTCTCCAAAGGGGTTGATGAGCTGCTCTGCCACCTGAGCGGGGAGAAGGGAGGTAAGCGGAGACCTGAGAACCCCGCCCGCCCCACTCCCAGAGCCCAGGCTCAGGGCCCAGCCACCTTGAGCCAGCCGGCATAGAAGAAGAACTGCAGCAGAGTGAAGACAGGCACAAACAGGTCAAGGTTGTGGTCTTTGTAGCCCTGCGCAGGGTCTAGGAACTGGCGACCAATGACGCAGGCCAGGAAGTAACTGTACACGGCGATGGTCACCACCTGGGGGCAGCAGTGGCCAGGTCAGGGCTCTCCTGGCCTCGGGTTCTCGGAGAGACCAGGGCTAGGGTCCGGAGTCACTGTGACGGGGTCTTAGCTGGTCCTCCATGTCCCCTTGAGACCAGTGCGTCTGAGGATGGGTCTCCGAGGAGGCACTGCGGGATTACCTGGGTGTAGACGAGGGGTATGCTGATCCAGTCGTAGTGAAAGAGCATGGAACACTTGCCCCGAAACACAGTCAGCTCCTGCGGGCAGAGGCAAGTACTGAGCGGGCCTGGCTGGTGAGCTCACACGTGGGGACTAAGTGTGGGTACTTGGGATGGAGGTGAGTAGTCACTGTGTGCTTCTGGGGGCTCCAGGGAGAGTATTTAGTGGTGAGTGTACCCCTGGGGGGTGGGGCATGAGATAGCTGTGCACCTGGGGGCTGCTAGGGAAGGGTGTTTGGAATCGGCCTCGTGGGAGGCACGTGGCTCGTCGTCTGACGGTATAATGTCTCTGGTGTTTTGTAGGAACGGCCAGCTGGCGAGCCCACCTCCAGCAGCAGTTTAAGGGCGCTGTTGTCCCGGATGCGGCCCTCCCGCCGGGCCTGTGCCGCCAGGTTAGAGAACCAGACGCAGGGCACCCAATACTTGTTGTAGGATGAGTTCAAGTTCTCAAACTTCTTGCGCTCCTCCCGGGTCATAAACCCTGGTGGGGTGAGACGGGGGAGAGGGGCGGGTCACTCGCCCCGCCTTCTCGTCCTTACTCGGGTCACTCGCCCCTCCCTCCGCCCTCCGCCCCGCCCGGCTCCCGCGTCCAGCCGGGGGCTCACCCGCCTCCACCACGTGGTCGATGGTGGGGAAGCGCTTGAAGACCGCGGTGCTGACCGAGCGCAGGATGAGCACGGCCGAGAGCCCCGCGTAGCGCATGAGCGTGCGCCGGTAGAGGCGGCCGCGCTCGTCGCGTCCGTGCACCGTGCCGGACACGATGCACATGAGCGCGTCGGGCAGCGGCATGCAGAGGTACTGGTTCCACCAGCGGTGCACCACCAGGTTCACGTAGAAGCCTGCGGCAGAGCCGGGAAGGGGCGCTCGGTGGCGACACGGGGCAGGGGCTTGTGGGCCCAGGTTGTGGGAAGGGGAGTGACATGGAGCCCGCGTCCGCAACACCCGGCAGGCTGGCCGCCCTGACCCCGCGGGGCCACCTGGGCTGGGAACTCGGGGGTCTAGCCCTGAGGTCAGAGTGCCTCGAGCAGCCTGGGTCACTCTGGTTACCTGGGAGTCACCTGAGATGGAGCCTGGGGCCTCAGGGCGGAGGCAGAGGCAACAGGGAGCCCCTGGGCCAGAGACATACGAAGGGGTTGGGCACAGGATCCGTGTTGGGGCGCGTAGGCTGGTAACCCCACCCGTGTGGGCAGAGCACATGGGAAGGAGCCTGGGGCCAGGACGTGTCAGAGAAATACTTCCTAGGCTGGACTTGCGGGGACAGAGTCATGTGAGGTCCCTGGAGGAGGCTCCTGGGCCAGGAGGAGGGCGGGCACTAGTAATCTAGGCAGGCACAGGCGCAGTCCCCGGGGTGGCCAGGGCAAACCCTCGGGTGACATGGAATTCTCAAGGGGCAGGTGACCAGGTGATGTCCAAGGGGCCACATCTGTCTACAGGAAGCAGAAATGGGGATCTGTGGGGCTGGATTTGAGGGGCGTCCGAGAGAGGCAGGAGTGGGGGGTCCCCAAAAGACATGAATGGTTTCTGGGGGGCGGGGGAAAGGGCACAGGGAACTCGAGCGCGAACACACCGAGCACGAAAGAGAGGGGGATGAGGCTGGCGTACTGGTCGCAGTAGATGACCAGCTTCTCGAAGTAGCGCTTGTGGCCTTCGGTCAGCACGAAGCTGCGGGCAGGGGTGCGGGTC